ACACAGGGCCTGAGCATATTAGGCTAATAAATTAGAGCTATTATTTTGGGGCCTACACCTTTAACAGAACCAAAATCCCTAATAAGTTGAAAACAATTGTTCAATCATGAGAGCTTGTCTTGTCCTAAACAAGGATGTTTCAGAAAATTCAAATTCTAGTTTGCCATATACAAAATCAGCATTRTGGGTTATAAGTCAATAAAAGCAACAGAAATAAATGCAACATCATAAAGATATACTCCTAACACCCAAAAAACAAATGTCATGTTCTTTTTTTGCCCCACATGTCTGATAATATAGCTTAGAACCACTTCTGGTGAAACCTTCCTTCCTTAAATGTGTTTGTCCAGTGTGTAACAATAGTGTCTTCAGCATTTCAACTCTCTCCTACTCTTTCTAATCACCTAAGCTATACTTGAATGGCATTTCCCCTAATTTCCCTCTTTACTAAAACATATCCTATTATCACATTACATAAAAATATTTTCCCCCTGTCTCTAGGTTAAGATTCATTTTCTTAAGCAGTATCACATCACCAAGGTTTAAAGCTGCATTACCATGGGAACATATTGTAATCTGATCTCTCTGCATTACCTAGGTTTATTGTTGTCAACCCTGAAAATATGTCATATCCCTTTTTAACCATCATCACTGTAATTATACCAATGGGCGGATCCTTTTTCTAAGAAACAAAGGTGAAAATTGACATTAAAGTCTTTGAGACAAATTTAGTGGAAGACCAAATTAGCTGAGCTAGAAGCTCATGATACTGACTTTTTAAAAATCACAGGAATAGCTGGGTGTAATAGCACACACCTATAGTTCCAGCAACTTGGGAAGCTAAGGCAGGAGGATCACAAGTTGAAGGCCAGTTTCAGCAAATTAACAAGAACCTGTATCAAAATAAAAAGGACTGGAGATGTAGCTCAGTGGTACAGCACCCTTGGGTTCAATCCCCAGTCCAAAAAAGAAAAAGGAAAAAAAAAATCACAGGAATAATATGGAAGGAAAAGCCAAAGGATACACCCTCRTTTATATCTGAAAAGGCAGAAGCTTTTGGGTACAATTGAATAAAGTTATACTCTAMTGAGAATTTTTTTTAAGTGTGATCTCTAAAGACAAGATGTGAATAATAAAAAAAGGAATCGTCTTCTCCCTGTGGTGTCTGGAGCCCTGCTCTTCCTTTCTCCTGCCCATTCAGGAGGCTCAATAGCCTTGTGAGCAGCACAGCTCAGAAGCACTACAGCCTTCGGAGTCACTTCTGTGTCCCAATAACGTTCTCTAAATCCTCCTGGGGCAGTCAAAGCAGGACTTGCATATTTATATTCAGTCCAGGGAGAAGCTGGGATTTGATCCATTTCAATGCAGTTCTCTTCCTTTCTAATTTAAATTCTGGTAACAGTATCACATAGTCCCACAGTGAGTTAAACTCATGGTAATCTTGCTKTGAGGAGCATTTTGACAGAGAGCATATTTTTCCGTAGCCAATTTGTCATTATATGCCCTGTACTCCTCATTATCATCACTCTTGTTTATCTGAACTTACATTTTTAACATTTTATGAGTTGGGATGGAGGCACTAAATTGTGGTAGTGCTTTTTAAAAAATATTTTGTAGTTCTACATGAGCACAATTTCTTTGTTTGTTTTTATGTGGTGCTAAGGATTGAACCCAGTGCCTCACATATGCGAGGAAGTGCTCTACCACTGAGCCACAACCCCAGCCCATGCCTTTTTTTTTCTTTTTTTTTTTTGATGCATACACACTAATACCTGAGAAACAAAYTAGAGTCAGAAGACAAAGAAATTTGTGACTAAGCAACAAATCTACAAAGTTGCAAACTAAAATGTAATTTTATAATTTTGCTTTTTAAAAGCTAAGAATTCAGGCTGGGATTGTGGCTCAGCGGTAGGGTGCTCGCCTTGCACACGCAGGACCCGGGTTCAATCCTCAGCACCCCATAAAAATAAAGGCATTGTGTTGTGTCCATCTACACCTAAAAAATAAAAAAATTTTTTAAAAAAAAGAAGCTAAGAGTTCACTCACTTATAAGTTGCAAATGCTAAACTATGACAATTAATTAATGGATATAAAGAAGAAAAGTAATCAGAAAAATACATAATAAGTTATTTAGGTTACTATTTAGTTTCTTTGAAGCAAATTATATTCTATGCTTTTATAATTATGTCAAAATGAAACCCAATATTATGAATGAAAGCATCGCTGGGGTTGTGGCTCAGTGGTAGAGAGCTCGCCTAGCCTAGCATGTGTGAGGCCCTGGGTTCGAACCTCAGCACCACATTAAATAAATAAWTATGATATTGTGTCCAACTAAAAAATAAATATTAAAAAAAAGAATGAAAGTACCCTTGAGTAAGCCTCTAGTTACCGCCCCCAACCCCCACATAAAAAATGTGGTATTTAGGTGGTAATGTCTGTGTAAGGGATAGTTGTTACTGTAGGCTCTTTGGTGGATCTGGAAACCCAATTAATAAAGAGCTGTTTAATAAGAGAAAAGAATAAAGGTTTTGTTAATTTCATATGTGCATGGGTATCTTCACAAGGGGGTGAGTCTGAAGAAATGACTAAAGCATAATGATTTTTAGAACAACAGACTCATGAAGGAATGACAGTACAAATAGACACCTGGATTAGGGGAGTACTTCTAGGGAGTTTAAGAGATATATAGGGGCAGGGTAGAAGCTGGTAGAAGATGAGGGTTGCTGTAAAGAATTTGTTTATTGAAGTTCACTGCAGTCCCATTTCGCAGTGTCTGGGGATCAAGGCTATTTTTCAGCCAGGTGTGTGAAGGACATCCTTCCCAAAAACATCTTTATGGCTTGCTCCATATAGGGAAACTCAGACCAAACGGCTCTTTCTGAAGTTCCAGTTCCTCAAGTGATTTCAGCTTGAAATAATCAGAAAGCCAGTTTGGCACATTTTGAGATGATCCCCTTTAACTCCTTCTCTGTCATGTGCAGGGAAGGCAGGAGATGAAGTTTAAATACCTCAGATTATTTGCTCTCTCTGGCAATCTTAAGTAAGAGTAGTCAGGAATGTGGGAAGGTGTATTCAGAAAAGTAGGAACAGGTGAATGAATTCCTAAAGCCATCTTCTAATTTAAAGTCCATTTGGGCTGGGATTATGGCTCAGTGGTAGAGAGCTTGCCTTGCACGGACGAGACCCAGGTTCGATCCTCAGCACCACATAAAAATAAAGGCATTGTGTTGTGTCCATTTACACCTAAAAAATAATTTTTTTTAAAGAGAGAGAGAGAGAGAATTTTTTATTATTTATTTTTTAGTTTTCAGCAGACACAACGTCTTTGTTTTTATATGTGCTGCTGAGGATTGAACCGGGGCCGCACGCATGCCAGGCGAGCGTGCTACCGCTTGAGCCACATCCCCAGCCCCTATGGACTTTATTTTTTTTTAATATTTTTAATTTATTTTTTGTTGCTCTCTAAGAGATATTATTGATTCTGAGATACTTCCCCTCTCCTGAACTCCACCCCCACATTCCACTAAAGGGATGGAGAAAGTGGAAGGAGATCACATTTGTCGTGCTTCTGCTAGTAACAGGCACAGGGGAAGCTCTTCATACACAATGGACTCATYTGTCATCAGGTTCCTGATAGGAAACTGAGTCAGAGAATGTAAAGACTTGGACTGAAGTAGTCCACTTTAGGTACTATGGTASAGTTTGGATTTGAACCCAGGAACTGTCTGGTTCCAAAGCTATGTTTTTTGAGCCTCCTAAACACATGTCCGGCCTGTTCTGTAAGCATGCAAATACCTTCTCCCAACCAACTGGTATCTTATAATGATTTAAATTGTTCCCCAAAATTACATTATACTTCATACCAAGTTTAATAGTTCTAATAGAAGATAAAGTCCAACTAAAATGAGACTTTACTAAAAGCAGTCTTTTAAAAATAAAAAAGAAGCAGTTTCCCATCACCACTTAGAGGGGCAATTTGATGTTTCACAAAACTCACTAGCATCAGTGTGTTRAGATTTTCAGATGGTGTGCAGTTGACATATACTAGGGCCAGAATCTCAGCATTGCATTCATTTTCCAGAAAAAGAACTCAGCATAAAATGCAGCTAATAGTAAGGTTTTGTTGAGGTTTTTTGCATAATAAAAGTCGTAACTGAGCAACATTCGCAGCAGACACTCCTCCCCATAAATCCATGGAGACTGGAAAGCATTTCAGAGGAACACAAACCCCAAGTAGTCTTTGGCAAGGGGTAATTTGCCATGATGATAGTTAAATAAGGAGAATACTGAGTGGCTGACTACAAAGAAGCATCTTGAAAATAAAACTGGCTGTGCCTGATGTCTGTCATTTGAAATGTATATAAAATTTCTCACATGTGGAGCCCAAATTGATCTCTTTTTTGACRAGGCAGACTTGACAATGCATACCAAGAAGCTTAGATCATACTTTTTTGACCTAGTAAACCCACTCTTGAGAATTTATCTTAAGGAAATATTTRTAAGATGAAGATTATGTATATTTTTATAACACCATGATTTATAATTATCAGGAAACTGGAAACAACCTATTTTCCAGAAATAAAGAAAAGGCTTAGTACCTTTTGGTATCTTAATTCTTATAATATGATCATATCATACTAACAAAGAAAAGGGTACTCAATGAAAGGTATAGAAACAAAAATGTAAATATGTGGCGGTTATAGACATACAAAACTACATATGTTGCTAAAGACTAGGAGGGAAAACAGAGATGAAAACAGTTACAGTGAGATATTATAAGAGTTTTTAAACATAAACATTTCTTTCTTTCATAATATTTTGTTTTTTCATCTTATTTTCCCAGCTGTAACTTATACAGAATCATATTTCATAATTATCTTGGGGTCAGAAGATTATTTTACAAAGGACATGTGTGGATCATTTCTAGCCAAGTGTGAAATACAAAGAATTACTGATTGACAAATACTGTTGCTGGTGTGTGCTTGTTTGTTTTTTTACAGTGAGGGGAATCTGGCTACAAAGCAGGTGGTATTCCTTCAGAGGCCAGTTATGTGGAATTCAGCTGTGCAGACCCCAGAAGTGAGTAGAATTGATGCTTTATGAATTGGATATGATATTAAAGCATTTAATCCCTAAATTCTCATTGTAATTCCAAATGGTGAGTACAGATGATGAAGTGGGGACTTGATATGAAAACATTCTTCTGAATGTTCCCTTCTGTCTTCTGTAAGAAGGGAAATATGTTAGCCATCAGGCAACATGAGATAGTTCTGAAGGGGACTAAAATATGCCACTTTGGTATAAGGATTATTTTGAGCTGAAGGAATTAAGAAATAGCAAGTACAAGAGAAACTCTCCACCCTCCTTTTTTCTCCAGAAAAACAGGGCATAAATTTCATATCATAAACCAGGTGTGGTAGTGTACACCTGTAATCCCAGGAACTAGGGAGGCTGAGGCAGGAAGATCATAAATTCAATGCCACACTGGGAAATTTTGAGAACTAGTACCAAAATWAAAAAAATAAAAAGGGTTGTAGATGTAACTCAGTGACTAGCACCACATAAAAATAAACAAACAATGGTATTATGTCCATCTACAACTAAAAATATTTTTTAAAAATTTCAGGATGTTGAGATTATTTCAGGCAGAACATGTGGGTAAAGCAATCTGGAGTATCTAACCTCTATAACAACAAGCCAACTTGTTTTAGTAATACAAAAACTATTAATATTACCACAGTCAACTTAGCTATTCATATATATTTTGTGAAAGTTAAATTTATAATATACCTTGAAAAAATTATGCAATCATACATTTGTAATGGCACTGTTGTTCTTTGTTTGTACTTTATAATCAGTTGTTGTTTGGGAGATTTCTCTATAGGTTTTTCAGATAATTTTGTCAAAGATGTTTAGTTCTAAAAACAGTCGGTGGAAATTTGGACTTGACAAGTGTTGCCCTATGATTGTCAATGAGTTTTTATTAAAATGATCAATTTCATGAGCTGTTAGATATTGACCTAGAGTCTGACCCTTGGGGGAAAAAATATTTTCCCTTTCTTCTAGTAAGACTAATGTCAAGGGGCTGGGGCTGGGGCTCAGTGGTAGTGAACTTGCCTGACATGTGTGAAGCACTGGGGTCGATCCTCAGCACCACAAATATATAAATAAATAGAGWAAAGGTCTATCAGCAACTAAAAAAATAAAACTAAAAAAATTACAAAAGAAAAAAAAAGACTAATGTCAAGATATGTAAGACTTTTCCTATCTAATTGTACTCAGCATAGAACAATATTTTTATGTCAAATCCATTTCATGGCCCTGTGGTCAGGAGAGAAAACAGAATTATATTATGAAAGAAGTCWGCTGTTGGAAATTTTTCTCTGCAGTTATCAAGACTTTACTTTTGGAATTTGTTTTATATTTCATATACTTTATGCAATATTCTAGGTAGCTTAAAAAGTTTTAACATGAAAATTATCAAGTCAAAACATGCTTCCATTTACTACTGCCTCAGTTTTCTTTCTCTTTCTTTGGTACTGGGAATTGAATCCAGAAGCATTTTACCCCTAAACCACATCTCCAGCCCTTTCTGTTTTTTAATTTTTGACACAGTTCTTGCTAAATTACTGAGGCTGGCCTTGAGCTTGGGGTCTTCCTGCCTCAGCCTCCCCATTTACTGGGATAATAGGACTACACCACTGTGCTGGGTGGGCCTCAGTTTTCTTTAAGCTGTTAAAAGATGGTCTATGTTAGTAGAACTAGAAAATTTTTAGAAAAAAATGTTAGAATAAAATGCCCATAAAGAGAGGTTAAGCAAAGAATTCTTAGACATAATCACAAAAACATAATCCATTAAAAATTTGTTCAATTAGATTTCATCAAAATGTTCTATGAATAACACTATTAAAGAATGAAATGACAAGCCATAGATTGAGGGGGGGGAAATAAACTCACCTTACATACATGACAAAGGACTTGTATCCAAAATGTATCAAGGACTCTCAAAATCTAACAGTAAGAAAAATAATGCAATTTAAGAAATAGTTAAAAGACTTGACTCCCTCACCAATGAGGACATATACATGAGAAGTAGATGAAAAGATGCTTCAACCACTAGCCCTCAGGGAAGTACAAATGAAAACCCGATGAGATACCCCCATACTACACCTATTAGAACAGCTAAAAAAAAAAAAAAAAAGAAAAGAAAAACTGGTGAGGATAAGGAGGAAACAGAACTGTCATGCCATTGCTGGTGAAGTGCAAAATGGTACTTTCCAGCCTCTCTGGAAAACTTTTTCACAGTTTCTTTAGTTAAACATACATTTACCATATAACTTAGCAATTCTTTCAGATGTTTATCCTAGTTCCAGGATACGAACTTAAATTAAGTAATTATATTAATTATATTATATTATATTATATTAATAATTAATTAGGATTAATAATTAAGATACAAACTTAAGTTAAATACAAACTTAAGTTCACACCAAAAACCTATATGCAAATATTTATAGCAGTCTTAGTCATACCTACTGAAAATTGGGAACAACCCAAATGTCTTCAACAGGTGGATGGATAAACAATTGTGGTATGTCCATACAATTAAACATAACTCAGAAATGAACTAGTGATACAAATGATAACTTGGACAAATCTCCAARTTGTTATACTGGGTAAAAGAAGCCAGGCTCAAAAGGTTAGATTGTATTATTCCATTCATCTGACATCAAGAAGACAAAACAATAGTGTGAAGAACACATCACAATACTGTTGTCAGGAATTAGGGGAGGAATAAAGAATGATAGAGGGGTAAATGGAGTTTTTTTAGGTGATAGAACTATTCTGTGTACTGATTATGATTACACAAACCTATAAATGTGTTAAAATTCACAAAACTATACACTCAAAAGTCACTTTTACTGTATGATCATTTAAAAAATAAAATTTCAAGCTGGGCACAATGGCACATGCCTCTAGTCCCAGCTACTCGGGAACTGAGACAGAAAGAATATGTGAGCCCAAATGTTCAAGGCCAGCCTGGGCAATATAGTAAGACCTCATTTCAAAATAATAAAAATAAATAAATGAATAAAATTTCAAAAGATCAGTTGCTTTGTAAATTACATAGACTACATTTTTAATGTCTTGTTTGTCTATAAAGGCTGTTGTTGGGTAATGTAATTCTTATTAAGTACAATGAAGTTCTTAATCTCCTTTTTTCTACATGAGGTTATGTGGTGTGGTAAAGTCCCTCTTTTTTTCTGTTCTTATCTGTTTTTACTTTATTATGGGGAGAGGTCTCTATAAGGTCCTTGCTTAGCATCTGGACAACCATCTTAAGTGACAGCTTCCATTTTAAGAAAAATTTCACTTTCCTGCCCAAGGGAAAAAGGCTCACCACTCCCTCATACCAACCCCACCCTTATCCACCACCATTAGGACCCACCCAGCTCTGATTTCTGAGCCTGCCCTATAAAAATCCCAGAACCCAAGTCTGTTTCGCCTCTCTCTCTCCCAATAGAGAGATGGCCTTTTTTTGGCAGCTCTGACAAATAAACTTTCATGTGTATCTCTGTCTGGTCTCAGCCTTTCATTTCTCGCTTACCCGTTTCTCATTCCTCGCTTTCCCTTCAGTCTCTAAATGGATTCAAGGAAAAGATAGCCATGCTAGGAAGGGGAAGAAATTCTGATCTGGATTTTACCTTCATCCAGTTAAATCTTCTCTTAAATTTTTCTTCCAAGATCTCCTTTCTTAATTTTTTGTTTCAARTAAAACTCAGCCCATGTTCCCTTTGAATCTTTTTTCTTTTAATTTTTAAAAATTTTTACTTTTTTGGCACTAGGATTTACCCAGGTGTGCTAAACCACTGAGCCACATCCCCAGCCCTTTTTGTTTACGAGACAGGGTCTTGCTAAGTTGCTGAGGCTAGCTTTAAACTTGCAATCCTCCTGACTCAGCCCCTTGAGTCACTGGTTTACAAGTCTCCACCACTGGGCCTGGCTTTCCCTTTGATATTCACTTAAAGGAAACAAAAGGTCACTTAAAGTATTTGGTTTCTACTAACTCATCCAATGGTGGCCCCAGGAGTAGGCAACAACCATGAAAGGTTTTCTGGGGCTTGGGGTCAAGTAGAAACACACAGTGTCTGCTGCACTCTTGAAACCTCCATTTCCCTGTCTATAAAATACAGTTAACATTAGTACATACCCCAGGGCTCTTAGGGGGATTCAGTCTGAAACACATGTAGATGTGTTTGGCACAATGCCTGACAGAATGAGCGATTGCTACTGTTTTCATAGGAATGTTTTTCTTTTAATACCATTAAACACTACCAAGTGTATGGAGAAACTATTCAGAAACTGAATATAGGGCTTCTATTTTCTCCAACTAAAATTTACCTTCAACTATTATATAGAAATGTAATTTATTAATGATTCTGTACTTTCCTGAACACATACATACATAGCAAAATATTTTAAAAAGGTTGAATTAGGTTATGGGTACATGGGTGCATACTGTGCTCTCCTTCAAACTTTCTGTATTACTTGACATTTTTCATATTTGGAAAGTTGAGAGAAAGAAATTGTCTCAAGTTAAAAAGCATTTTTTCCAGCAACTTTTTTTCCATGTTGGTTGTTCATTAGTTTCTAAGCTACTCGAACAAAGATGACAGAGAAAAGAATGGCTAATGCAGGAGGAGGGACTTATTCTCTCTTGTAATAGTATAAGGATGGCACTCCAGTGTGGGTAATGGCTCTGCCTCATGACCAGTCAGCCTTGCCACCTCAACGTCTGGCTCTTGCCTCTGGACCCAGGGCTACTACAGCAATTGTTACCATGTTCAGCCTTGAGGAATAGGAAAAAGGAATTCCAAGCATGCTTCTCAGACTGACTTTCACACCATAGGCATCATTTGTTTTCACTTCCTCTTGGCCAGAACTTATTTATGACTCTACATACATTTTCAAGAGAGGCAAGGAAGATTAATCTGGGCAGCCATGTGCTAGTACAAAAGTATGGGATGTTCAAGGAGAGATATTCAGTTACTAAAAGAAAGATGGACCGAATGGATCCTTCAATTAATTTTTTTTTTTTTAACTCAGGGCCATGTCTATGTGAGGCAAGCACTCTACCAACTGAGCTATATCCCAGCCCAGGAGTTCAATTTTTTTTTTTTTAAAGAGAGAGTGAGAGAGGAGAGAGAGAGAGAGAGAGAGAGAGAGAGAATTTTTAATATTTTATTTTTTAGTTCTCGGCGGACACAACATCTTTGTTGGTATGTGGTGCTCAGGATCGAACCCGGGCTGCACGCATGCCAGGCGAGCGCGCTACCGCTTGAGCCACATCCCCAGCCCGGGAGTTCAATTTTTTAAATATAAATTGGATTTATACTTTAACTGATACATAAAAACATAAAATTGTACATATTAATGGAGTACTGGTATGTTTAATAATGTTTAATTTAAGTTAAACATGTATATTTTCAAATTTCTATCACTTTTTTATGATGAAAACTTTCAAAATCCTTTCTTCTAGCTTTTTTTTTTTTTTGATATATGGTACTAATTTGTTATCTATAGATAGAACTTCTTACTCCTAACTGTAACTCAGTTCAGTACACATTGATCAACAGTTCCCTTCCTCCCCCCACCCAACTCTCCCCAGCCTCTGGTAATAACCATTCTATTTTGCACTTCTATGAGATGAACTTTTGATATTCCACATGAGTAAGAATGTGGTACTTGTCTTTCTGTGCCTGGCTTATTTCACTTAACATAATGATCTCCAGTTCCATCCATGACAGAATTCCATTCTTTTTTATGATAGAATAGCATTCCATTATATATGTATGTAAATTCCAAAATGGACCACATTTTCTTTACACATTTATCAGTTGATGGACATGTGTTTCCATTTCATAATTGTGAATAGAGCTGCAATAATCATGGGAGTGCAGATGTCTCCTTGACATACTGATTTAATTTCCTTTGGATAGGTATACCCAGGAATGGAATTACGTCATATCATAGTTCCATTTGTAATTTTTGAGAAACCTCCATGGTGTTTCCCATAATGACTGTACTAATTTACATTCCCATTAACAGTATGTAAGGGCTCCCTTTCTCCATATMCTGGCCAGTATTAATCTTTTTGATAATAGCCATTCTCACTGGGGCAAGGTGAAATCTGTTCATGGTTTTGATTTGCATTTCCCTTTTGATTAGTGATGTTGAACATATTGGCCATTGTTTTTTTGTTTTGTTTTGTTTAGAAACATCTATTTAAATCTATTGTCCGTTTTTTAAATTGAGTTATTTGTGGGGTCATTTTGCTATTGAGCTTTTTGGAGTTCCTTATACATTCTGGATATTAACTCCTTGTCAGATGTATAGTTAAAAAATATTTTCTCACATTCTATAGGTTGTCCCCCGACCCCACCCCACAACACACACACACACACACACACACACACAGAAGAAGAAGAAGAAGAAGAAGAAGAGAGAGAGAGAGAGAGAAAGGAAAGAAAAGAAGTACTTCTTTATCCTAGAGTCAGTACAATAGCCCCAGGGAACAACTCTGGATTCGCTGGGGTCACCTGCCCATACTGCAGCATAGGCGGTGAATTTAGAAAGCTGGCTGGAGAAGTAGGTAGTCCACTCCAGCCTTTCTCCTCATAGGCTTGAATGATTTTGATAGCCCCAAACTGGGATGATCCAGGAAAACGTACCATGAGAAGGTAGAGGTGGTGCCTTTGCATTGTTTCAAAACCTCAAACCAAGAGTGATACTTGGGCTTGAAGTGGCTTCCTAATCTAAGGGAAATAAATTCTGACTATCCACTCTACGTTGCTCTCTCTTTATAAATTCTCTCTTGATCACTCTTCTATTCTGTCCTTTATGAGTAGGCCACTTTCCTACTCGTTCAACACAGTGTCCTAGGATTGCTGGAGTAATTCTAATTTAATTCTTTTTATTTTGTTTTTAAGACACTGACCATGAAAAATGAAAAGTAGAGTGGTAGGACATCCTAAAATCAACCAACTTGTCACTGAGTCTAATGTATTTTTAGTGGGTCACTTCCCCCCTCTTTTTTTTTTTTTGAAAATGGAAATGACTCTTTAAAGTTAATAGGTTAAATCAAGGGAAGCATTAAATTTGCATCCAAACCTTGGTAAAATTTCTCCCATTTTATAGTGAAAATATAAGAAAGTGGAAAGGTATGTGAGTAAACCTTATCATATGGCATGGAAAAAATCTCTCTTTATGGACATAGATAGTTGTAAAATAGTACTAAGTAGAAAAGTGAGGCATAAAACTTTTTGTGTAATATTTTATACATAGTGTACACGATGCAAATGCATATGTATTTAAAGAAGAAAACAAAATTTTAACAGTAGTATTTCTGGGAGACAGGATCATAGATGAGTTTGCTCTTTTCTTGCTTTTGCCAAGTTATCTACATTGAACATTTTTATTTTTGTAATTGASAGAAAATTGTATTTAAGAAACACAAACCCTTTTACCACAAATATATTTCTACAAAAGTGACCAATACATTATAAAAAGAAGAAGGTAGAGACTCAGGCACCAGTTTGGGGCCTGCTACTCCATGACCTTGGACAAACCCTACCTTATTTTTAGGCCTGAATTCTACCTCTGAAAAAATAAGGGAATTTAAGGATATGGTCTCTAAAGATTGCTTGGGCTTCAGACTCCTACAATCTGAGTTATAAGGACACTACAAATTGGTTTGTCGGAAAAGCTGTTATTTCCTGTGGAATGGGGTTGGGGTAGGAGAGGCAATTTCATTGCTAAAGATGTATTTATTGAATTTATCAGTCACATGGATAGAAAAAATTAAAATGTGTGTTCTGAATTCTTTTAGAGGTACAATGTTAAGTATTTTGTCATCTGAAGTGAAATTTATTAGTGATCATCTAAAAGTGGAGAAATATGAATATCTTACTCTGAGAAATATTCAAGTTTTATTAAGTAAGTACTTATTAAATATGTGAGAGTTAGCCTCTGTTAGCTTGTATACAATTAGGAATTTCTTGCAAAACTCACCTTTGGCCCTGTTGCTGGTGAGGAAGGAATGATCCAAGCAGCCAAGGGACTAGGCACCCCTGCCTTCCCATTTTGATTCAATGAGTGTTAAAAGCATTGAGACCATCTTTCGAGAGTGAATGTGTTCTTTATTCCTGTGGGAAAGGCACCCCCAACCAGGCTTGAGAAAGGAGCTCAGTCTGGCAGAGCTTGTCACTTCTGCCTGAAGCCAAAAGATTATATCCTTGCTGACCACACACACAGTGCCAGGGAGAAGGTGCCATTCTCAAATCCAGTATCCTATCTGAGAGTAAATTCAGGTTTCAACTGCTTGTGCTAAATTCAATAAATGTGGTGAATGGGAACAGAGGAAAAGGATTAATTATGTAGTATTTGCATTGGTGAGTGCCGGGTGCCAATGGAAAATGTGAGCACCACAGAACTATATCTGAATTGGGCCTTTGCTGAGGAAGGACCAGGTAGATTTTTCCCTTAAAGTTGCCCACAGACTCCAGCAAGTTGCCCATGAGAAAATGAGCTGCCCGGGTGCCRCCAGTGTGTTCCTTTCTAAGCAACACCTGGGGCTGATCTTCCTATTTAATGTCTCCGTGGTGTTTCATTCCATATAGCCCACAAAATCCAATTCAGTAAAGTTGTTTGTTTTCTATATTTGCCAAGAAAATCAGTAGAAAATACTTATATATTTTATACAYTACAGTTCAACAAACCTATGGATTAACACACTTTGGGAAGACCAGCATGGGCTTCTAAGTTTTTTCATAGAGTTTCATTCTTACATTTAGGAAAATATAATCTTAGTTGCCAACTAACATATAAATGAATCTTTGGTTTAAAAAAAAAAAGACACTTTAAATAGGGAAACTACTGTGCTTTTTAAATTTATCTTTAAATCCTTGTTTGTTTTTTATGTGCCTAAGATTATGGATCACATTCCCATATGTTGCATTGTATCAGTGTTAAAGAAACCCTTGTAATAAGATCTCATCAGGAGTCTGAATATCCATGTTGAGCTGCTGATTATCCTTAGGCTCCTTTTTTGACTTAGGTATCTTATTTTTTTTTAAGTATTTTTTTAAATATTTATTTTTTTTTTTTTAGTTCTCCGCGGACACAACATCTTTGTTGGTATATGGTGCGGAGGATCGAACCCCGGGCCGCACGCATGCCAGGCGAGCGCGCTACCGCTTGAGCCACATCCCTAGCCCTAGATATCTTATTTTTGACTTAGTTTTCTTGGCAGAGACCATGTCCTCTTTATTCTGAACTGTACCAAGGACATGGTCAGTCCTCAGTAAATATTTATTAGCAAAACATCCACAGCTTATCGCAGTCTGACGAATGCACTGGATCAAATTGCTGAGCATTTCATACCATCAGGCAGAAGTTTGTAGCAAGATAAGGCAATGGGTCTGCTTGGTCCAGGAAGACATCCCAGGCACTTGTTCAAATGCCACCTGTGCCTCTGTGAAATGGGGGTAGGRTGGCCTCTCAGCACAGTTGCTGTTGTCTAGATCCCAGCCAACTCCAACAAGACAAAATGTATCTGTATTTCTCCCYTGCTTTGTTCCCAATCATGACTGGAACACAATTCTCTCCTTAGGTGTATACAACTCACCTGCCAGTGACAGGATGTACCATGAACATTCAAGAGTTGCAAAATGGGGTAGAGGGAGGAGATGAGGAGGGTGACTACAGTTAATTTAGGTAATTTTTTGCCATGCTGGGGATTGAACCCCAGGCCTTGAGCCCTGGGCCTCCTGCCCGCTAAACAGTTGCTCTACCACTGMGATGCACCCCCAGCCCTGTCATGAGYAGGCTTTTGAACAGAAGCAGGGAAAGGACGTTTCAGGCAAAGAAGCAGCTTGTGCCAGAGCAGAGGCGCAGGAAGCACCGTCTTTTAACTCCTGGTTGCCAATCTCTTGTGTTACAGAGGAAAGCAAGCCCTTTTATGAAAGGCGACGACAGAAACAAAGTCAGCAGCAGGAGCATCGGATTAGACGCAGGCGAGTCGCAGCCTATGGAGGCCAGAACCCCGCCKGAGGAGGGCCGCTTCTCGCCTTCAGGAGAATGCTGGACCAAGGAGGGGAGGCCAGCACAGTGCAGTGGCTTCTCGGGGTTCAGCAGCAGCGACAGTGTCCTCCGGGAACTAGATGAAGGACAGTTTGACCAGGAGGACGGAGTGACTCAGGTCACTTGCATGTGAGCCTCCAGGTGAAAGAACAGAGGTCCTGTAAATAGTCATTAAAATAATTGCCAACTGACTTTATTACTGTACCTGCATTTATGTGATATCCTTGAATTTTTAGACTCAGCCTTTCCTCTAATCTGTRTAAACTTTGGCTCAATCTTCTAGACAAGGAAGAATAACCAACATATTTGTAAATTTAGAATCATGTTTACACTTCTCTCAACTAAAACATCTGTCTAAACAGATGTTCCATTAGGTTATTAAGCAATAATCTACTTCAGTTTCTCATGAATGTACAAAATATACTTTGCTTACCATTCCCGTTAAGAAGACTGAATATCCCAGTCAGTATTTTACCTAATTAGAGAATTCTCAGGAAGTTACAGAGGCTTATTTAAACTGAAAAATAATCTCTCTTTCTCTTAYATACAAATCAGCACAGCGCACAGACACATAACTGATTGGTAAAAATAAATACCTATTTTCTGAATAAAACAATCCAAATTTTCTCTTTGACTATGGACTGTATAAACAAAGAAAGCCCCTACCTGTTAAAATATTCTCTGAAAAACATAAATTYTTTCTGTGTGTCTTTGCTTTTAAAGACTCATCAGTTACCAGCCCTGTGTTGATTCATTGAGCTTAGACATTATTGCTCCTACTAGCTTAGAAATATAGCAAAGCAGYATCTTTTAAAATTCAATACAAAAGCCAGGCATGGTGGTGCAAGCCTATAATCCTAGCAGTTCGGGAGGCTCAGGCTCAAGGCCAGCCTCAGCAACTAAGCAATTTAGCAAAACCCTATCTCAGAAAATAAAAAGGGCTGGGGATGAGGCTCAGTGGCTAAGCATCCCTGGGTTCAATCCCTGGTACCAAAACACACACACACTCGAAAAAAAAATTCAACACAAAATCCCAACTTGTAAAAACCTCAGTAGACAGAAATATTTAATTTTATTTAATTGTGAACACCATAAAAAGAACAAAATATCAAATTTAAGTCTACATCTTTCTAGATTTGAATTATGCTTTTATTTTGACTTGCTAAATCCTGAAGAATGTTGAAACCCAGAATTTTCAGTCCTGCAGGAGTGGAGAGGTGCTCATAGCACGTGTGATGTTTATGAGGATCTGCTCATCTCTGCCTTTCTCACTACTGCTAATAGGCATGCCTTTGCCTTGCCCTAATAATATTCTGCAAAATAGAGGATTTTCATGTATGTTTGAATAGCTTACTTTAGAAGGTGAGGACCTTCAAGTGAATTACAATTGACCTTACCCATTGATGAATTCAGCCCATTATATTTATATTTTTTAGTACTGATGTTGACATTGTAAGATCATTTGAATAATAAAATATCATTTGTTACTGGGCTATCATTTTATTGAACACACTCATGTTTTATATATATATATATATATATATATATATATATATATGATCAAATATATAGTGCAATTAAACTAAACCAATCTGCATGAATTTTTGGCAAGATTAACAGGAAATATTTTATGGCTATCTGCTTGTACAAGTAGAAAGGGACTTAAGAATTGTCTACTCAGTCTTGTTCTGTGAAAATAGCTACCAACAGTATTTGCAGAAATGCTTTTTGTCTTGATTTTCAGATGAATCTGAGTTCTATATCCAAGAATCCTTGGGTTTTTGATAGAAACAATCACTACTTCACAAGTCCACAAAATGCTATGAAACTACAAAGCACAGGAATGTACTGAGAAAAATCAGACAGGTTTCCCAATGCCAATGTCTATAAGAGATGGAGGCTCCTTTGTCATCCTACACATAGGGATATGAAATACCAAGAACAGAGATAGAAATTTATATTGAACAAGGGGAAATTCAAGAATATGTCAATTTTTTAATTTTAAATTTTGTGTAAGCATGGTTTTTACATTTTGCTTTTAATCTAGGGGTTATATTTTCCTAGTTAAAAACAACAACAACAAACAAAACTGGGTACAGTTGCATATACCCATAGTTCCAACTACTTGGGAGGCTGAGGTAGGATTGCTTGAGCCCAGGAATTTGAAGCCAGCCTGGGAAACATAGCAAGACCCTGAACTATTTAAAAATAAACAAACAAAAACCAACCTTTTATTAGAATAAACTTGGCAGTCTGTCYTAGTCTCAGTATTTATTTCATGCCAGGCACAAGGGCATACACCTGTAACTCGGAGGCTGAGACAGGAGGATCACAAGTTCAAGGCCAGGCTAGGCAACTTAGTGAGACCTTATTTAAAAATAATAAATAAACAGGGCTGAGACTTGGCTTGGTTATAAAGAACTTTGAGTTTAATTTGCAGTAGCGTGCGCATGCACACACACACACACACACACACACACACACACACACACCCTTATTCTGTAAGTATTTACTCCAATTCTATGTAATAAATGTGTACAATAGTGAATAGTGACCAAGCAGCTCTAGAGCATTGTAAATATACATAAGTAGCTGAGTCTATTATGAAAGAAAAAAGAAAGGGAAAAAAAAGCAACAAAACTAGGACTCCGTGTGCATAAGTTGTTAAATGAGACTAATCTTCCAGTTGTATATTCAACCCCCAGGGCCTCACACATGTTCACTAGCACTCAGYCACTGAGCTGACCCTGAGCCCTTAAAACTTACAAAGTTTGATGAAAATGTACCAAGATCAAAGGCAAGGATGTGAAGCTTTGCCATTCCCCTTGGTATGGTATTGACGGCACTTTGTCTTAGCTTTCAATAATCACTTGGTAGTTCTATCCCATTTGGATGGAATGTCACCCTGTCATCTATCTTCCGTGGGCAGCATTTATCCCCTCATCATGGAGAATCACCATTGAACTGAGGAGCAGCTCTATCAATGCCACTACTGTTTCCTYAGTGAAAGACACAGGGAAGGGTCACTTGCTTTAAAAGATTTTAAGGTTTTCGTTTCTAATATCWAGTACCAGGTGCTCTTCTACTACTTTCATTCTGGAATAGCTGAGGAGTTGTCTCATTTTCCCTCCACCATTCTGGGCTGGAAGGACTCTCCCTCAGCATATGACGAGAATTTCCTCCTGTTAACTCGGGGCCACAGAGTCACTCTATGTGAAAAGACTAAATTCTGAGTGAGAACAAAAATGGAGGAGCTACTAACTTTGGCGAGAGTCTGCAACTAAGTGTGTTAACTAAAAATATGCTGTTGGATATGTAGGAAAACTGGCTAACTACTATCCATCAGAACTAGCAGCAGAGCCATTCAAATAATATTTGTTGTGGCAATCTATCATCCCTTGAGAGGGAATTTTATTTGTGCAATAGCAAAAGTTCACAGAAGCAAGTATATATGACCGACGAGAAAGTTCTAAAATGGTATTTGAGGTAGAAAATTAGGCAAAACTCTAATGAATCCAATTTCTAGTGAACCTCAAAGTTTCTGTGGAGGCAAAAATGAGTTCAAGAAATGCTTGAGCATTAAAATCATTGTGTAATTATCAAATAAGTAAAACCAACGTACGTGTAAAATAAATGTGTAAGTATCAAGGTAATTCTAAAGGTTTCTATCAGCCAGCACTCTTAGTTGCAGGCAACAGAGCTGATTTTGGTTCATTTATCAGCAAAGAAAATTATTTCAAAAGATATTTGGGCAAAGTGGCATACTCCTATAATCCCAGCAACTCCAGAGGCTAAGACAGGAGGATCACAAATTCAAGATAAGTGTCAGCATCTTAGCAAGGCCCTAAGCAATTTAGTGAGATCCTGCCTCAAAATAAAARATAAAATGGGCTGAGGATGTAGCTCAGTGGTAAAGTGCCTGGGTTCAATCCCTAGTACCAGGGAGGAAAAAGATTTGGAATTAGACTTCATCAAAATTTAATGTTTCTGCTGATCAAAATTTTCAATTTAATAAATGAAAAGACAGGACATAGACTGGAGGACTATATTTACAAAAGGACTATATTTACTAAAGAAAGAGATTGAAGAAGACCCTAGAAGATGGAAAGACCTCCCATGCTCTTGGATAGACATAATTAATATTAATATTATCAAATGGCCATACTACAAAATATTTAATGCAATTCCTATTAAAATTCCAATAATGTTCTTCATAGAAGTAGAAAAATCAGACATGAAATTCAGTGGAAAAAATAAGAGGC